AGAGAGAGAGAGAGAGAGAGAGAGAGAGAGAGAGAGAGAGAGAGAGAGAAACTCATGGGATTATAAGGTGGGCAAGTCCAAACTCTGGAGGGCAGGTCAGCAGCCTAGAAACTCAGGCAAGAGTCAGTAATGAACTCAGTCCAGATTCTTGGGGCAGCAGGCTGGAAACTCAGGCAGGATTCTGTGTACCTTGTAGTCTTGAACAGAATTCTTCATGAAAGTTCAGACTTCTCTTGGCCTTCGGCTGACTGAGTGAGGTTGGCCCACATTGTGGAAGGTAACTTGCTTTATTCAGAGTCTGCTGATTTTGATGGTAATCACTTCTAAAAAGGATCTTTACAGCAACATCTATACTGGTGTTTGACATGGGAGTCACAGCCTGACTAAGTTGGCAAGTGACATTGACATTAACCATCACAGGTTATAGTCAAAAGCAAATCATATGCTAAGCAATCATCAAACCATTCAAAATGTCATACTCACCATCCAAATTATATACAGTTGTGACAGTTGAGCCACAAATGTACAATGTACTGGCTCTCTGTGGGTGCGGGGTGAGGAAACAGCTGTGTGTGGTGATGAAGGGAAAGAAAAAGGACAGAAAAAAGTGACGAAGCTGCTATCTAATCCTGTAGAGGGAATGCTGGGATGAGGGATGGGTGGGACTGTTGCCATTGCCATGAGTGTCTGAAATACGGTCCTGTATTTGAAAGTGACCGGGCCCTCCTATTTGCTGAGATAGACTTTGTTTCCTAGCTCTGTGAGTTGAGGTGTTCGGGATCCCTAAAATAAAAATGACCTTCAAAACAATATATTCCATATTCCACACATAATCTGCTTCTATGGTGATCTCTATGTATTCTGTCTTTCTGAATTAGAAATTTTGAACTTTTTCCCTGTCTCACAGAATATAGGAGAGAACTCATCTTTTCCTCTACGAGTGACTCCATTAGGCCTTTTTATGTTTTTCATGAGAGCTTCTGAAACCAGGCTTTTTCCATCTATGCTGTACCTTTGGGGAGTTAGTACATTGGTCTCCCATGAATGTCAAAAATGAAATCAGATAAGGGAATAATCCACAGACTCTTTCCTGTCACTGTTGTGTGATGGAAACTCTGAGAAGGATGCACTGGTTGAGCATAGACAGCCTCCCTTTCTGCATCTTGTTGTTTTGAAAGTCTGTATCCAGTTCTGAATAATATTCACCTTTGCTCAGACATGAGTTGGTATTCTATAAACTCCGTCCAACTCTTACTTATTCACTATTTTTTGGCTTTTCCATGAACCAAACATGGAAGACTAAACTTGGCACTAACTCTGTTAACTTCTTTCACAAGTGATCATGTGCTGTGCTCTGCTGTGTTGGTTGGTGGTGTTATGTTGATAGCTGTCTCACCCAGAGTCCTATAAAACTGGGAGAGATGGTGCATGCCTGTAATTCCAGCTACTCAGGGGACTGAGGCAAGAGGATCACAAGTTTCAGGCCAGCCCAGGCAACTTAGTGAAATCCTGTTTCAAAATAAAAATAGAAAGGGCCGAGAATGCAGCGTCGTGGTAGCGTGCTTGCCTAGCGTAATTGATGCCCTGGGTTCAATCCCCAGTATGGGAAAAAAAATCCCTTACATTTACAAGTTAATTTCTTCCTTTCTCTCTTTCTCTTTGCCCCTCTCCCCCACCTTTGCATCTCTGCATTTCTGGCTAGTCCTACCCAGAGCAGGTTTTCAATAAGTGCTTCCAGATTAATGAATATATTATTTTCTTTGGTCTACCTAATTGCCATTTGAAATGGACAGAAAAAGATTTACTATCCCCAACCCATTTCCCAGTACTCCAAGCAAAATGATGTCATAAATGAACTGCTAATATCATCCAGAAGTGAGAAGGGTGAAGTTGCCACTTAAACTTATGTCTTCTCACTTCTAGCCAAGTGCTTGTGAGTGAAATGCAGCTGCTGAAACAGACATTTCTCTTGACACTTTTATAGACTGATGAATTTATTCCTGTTCTCCCATTGTCCCCTTGAAAGACGCATAAAGTTGAATAGTTCACGTTCCCAATGAGATATCTGGAGAATGATTGAGCCAAGACTTCCTCAGAATCTTCAAACAATCTTGGGACTTATGGAGCTCTTCTGAGCCCTGAGCATCTCTTTCCATCTGCTGCAAACTATGGATAGTTCCTGCTACCACATGAGTGGCTTCTTCCTATCTGGGGTGTATGGGATCAGCTCAAGCAGCCCGAGGCAGAAGGAAAGCAAGAAAATCAAATTCTCTTGGTATTCTTTTAAGTTTCCCAAATATTCATAGGTGTGGTATTTTGTGGTGAGGGATTGGTAGCAAGATACAGTCTG